TGACGCTATTGTTTTTTAATATATTTCTCTTCTGATACTAAAGATGGTAAAGATATTCCTCGGTGGGGCTTGCATATGCAGGTCTGTAGTAATAATAATAATTATGAACACAGGTGATGAATAAATCCTTATATAAATGTTGTCGTATACGTCAAAATTTGTTCCATTCCTGAGTGAGACTGAATCATTAGACTAACTTCTAGTACATGACATGCAATGAACTTTATTTTACTATATTATAAAGTGATTCCCAAGCACTTTGTCATAGTTAAAAGGTAATAAACCGAAGTTAGAAATGTAATTATTCATGGCAAGAATATTTACACGAGGAAAAACTTAGAAATTGATAATAATTTATCTTTTACCTACATGAATTATTTATGAATGGAATTGGTTTGATTAATAATATATATTTTAATTTCAAATATGTGTAGCTCGTTGAATGTACGTTATTTGTGTGCACGAAGCTCTGGATTCTATTTTCAGGATTTTATGTATGTTTATCCTTTCTAGAAATTTCTTTGCGCATGCAGGAATAGATTAGTTATCCCGTACATACATGTACATTTGATATATTATTATGAAGTACATTTCATGATAATATATTAGGAAAAGACAGCTCCTGGGTATAATATAACGAATATGATCCTAAGAACCGCCGTAAAGTTACAACATTCATTAATTTTATAGCGTCCCTCTTTAATTATTTTAGTGCAATATACACCGAGGTGTTACGTGATGTTTATATTAATTAATACTATTATGCAATAAATGCTTAATAGGTATTCGCTATCAACCGAAAGCATTCGATGGCATACAGGGTTAATGACGGCGACACGGCGACGGCAAGACTTACACAGCTCCTAATTAAAAAGTCTTTCGAATAACTTAAAATTAACGAACTAAGTCGAAAACCTTATCAACTAACACAGAAACTTGAAATGCATTAATTCCGTATAATATTCCAAGTATTGCATGAATTCTCAAGACAGAACAATGACTATAAATTTAGTTAGGAGATGGTTGTACCTCTAGGTACCTCGACTAATTATCTTTAACTAATATAGCTTTATTATTCAGTTTGAATTATGTGTAATTGTACGGTATTTATGAACATTTACACCGGTTTATGGGTAAATTTCCCATGGATTAGCGTCGGTGCGGTGGCTGCACTGTTTCTGTGCGGGAACGACTAAATACAGTTAGTGGACAGAATCGCATACCTTTTTTATTGCTTTAAAACAATAAAAACGCTGCGTTTTTATTTAGCGTGTGTAGGGTTGACACTTTTGTGAATTAGTGTAAAAGGAGGTCGGTCTATTGATAAAGTTAATTGAATTTTGTGATTGCAGTTGTTAAAAAGTTAACACTCGTTGAATTTGTGGTTAAAGGTTTAAATAGTATTCTATTCTTAAGCAGAGCAAATTTTAGTGGTATTTGTGTTGTGTGAAATAAAATAATACATCACCTTAAAATTTAATCTTCTAATCTTAAAAGGTTACACTGGTTGTTATGCTATTAAGTTTATATTAAAAACTTAAGCTTTTCAATAAAGTTCAGTAAAATAGTTTACCTACCGCTGTAAAATTAATGATTGAATATTAATATTCATCGTTGATCACTTTTACAAACAGATTAATTAGTGATCAAAGGAATCGTGTAAATGGGAAAATTAGAACATCACCAATAAACATGTAATATATATAAAAGTTCTATAATTATAAACTAACTGCTTTACGACAAGAGCTAAAGTTTCATTTTATATTTACAAATCACGAAGGTCTTGGCCGAACCAGTACAACAGACTATCCCAAACTGACAGACTTCAGTGTATTTACAACTCTATTTACAAAACAATGTAGTTGAAATTCTCGTAAAGTTCGATTAATGTTAGTCTGCACATAGAACTAAGCAAAACAATCTAATTAAAAGATTATAACATAACATTAATAAACATGAACTACATCTGGAAATGGCAAGCTATGGGTGCAAGTTAAAAGTTTTAAAGCGCGTCATAACTTATGCAACGGCTGTATAATGTATATTGAATGTGCTATATACGGCAAGTCCGGTCTCTTCTAGCAATTATACATGATGCGTAATTGACGTAACACGGACCGGTCGCCGCCGGCTTATTAATGCTTTGATACCAGTTGTGTGTCATAAAAATGTAGAATCATACTACTTGCATACTTTACGCAGATTTTTACGTTCGAGTGACTCCATGGGAATATGTAGGTGATGGATAAGTGTGCGATATTGAGATCAGTGAATAATTGTATTCTTATTATTTAGAACAAAGTCTTTAATGAGTGTCAATAACAGTGTTAGTGATATATATATTCATTAATGGGCTATAGTAGCATATAAAATAGTTCCATACATTCTTTATAAGAAAATTTGTTTTCTTGGCCTTTGTCGGTAGCTCTCGAATTGATCCGTTGCAACAATATAGAAGCAAATATTTGGGTACGTAAAGTTTATAGTAAACATTTCGAGTGTTCTCGTTACGTATATGTGTTTGTCACGCTTTGTGGACATTTCGTCCGTCGGCGGCAGTTTGAAGCCAATTTCCGAGTCACTCAACGGTTTCTGCGACGCTAACTCGCAGTTTTCCGATTATTTCGCACCAAAACCGTTACATTCCGTCTAGGTGTCGCCACACTACTTAAATCTGGTGTACTAGATCAATTTACGGACCGTTGCATCACTAAAAACGTAATAGTTTCCAATTAATTTCCAAACCGTGTAATTGGATTATGAAGCGTTTCATCTTCTTAATAACATAGCAACTGGTGAACGATTTTCAAGTTTAACTCTCGTGCAATTAGTTTTTTACATTTTCAATCAGATTCCAACCCTTCATGCAAACATTGGTGGAAAGTAAAACTGAAGGAATATAATAAACCTTTGCATAATAAACCTTTTTGTTACAAATCACTAATCGCAAGTAAACGGAAGTCAAATAGTCAAGTAACGTACGCAGCAGGATGTTGCCTAAAGGATTTTCTGAGCATCCTACGAAGTCAGAAGTCACAACTATTTTTTACAACTAGTAGTTCGTAGTAAACTATTTTTCTAATAACGCCGAGCTCCGCGCGTCGCCGTCTATATGCGTATTGATGGGAACATTTTTTTCCATGTTTGTTCAGCCTGTTTGCTTCTGCTACGATCGTCTTAAGTATTTTCTCAAAGGTTATTAACCTAGTTTCGTTCATCAACAATTGTAGAAGCTTTAATACAAGTACTTACTAGTTTGCTTTGTATGTATTGAATATACGTGAAGATCTATATACAGTTGTAAAATCTCAAGAAGAAATATAATGCAAACTGTTTTTAAACTTTCCTTCATGGTCTGCAATCTACTTTATCGTTTTTCTATGGAGCCCATTAAATTCAGACATTGTAGATAACAACCGAGTGTTTTGTACTACTCCGTGTTTAGGTAGTTTATGGGAGCCTAGAATAGAGCCAGGAGAGCCTGGAGGGCCGCGGGAGCCTTCGAAAGAGCGGGCGGAATGCGCGCACAAGGTCATTGCGCCCTGCGCGGTCATGCGCTTGCGCCCCTGCCCCGCCCCGCGCGCTCTTACCCCGCACCCCGCGTCTCATCCGCACCCACCACCACATTGTCTAGTGCGATCAGCTGCGGATAAAGGGGAACCGACTGGACCGACAATCGATACAAACCATTTCAATGCGAATTTATTTTTCCATTTTGCACCGGAGCAGTGCAGCAAAGCACGAACGCCTCTAGCGATGTGGTTCGTTCTAACGTTCTTTTCTAAGCTCTTACAAAGAAAAAGGCTAGTTCGTGCCGTGTCGTGGTTTATTTACGATGCTTACATTGGCTAGCATTTATCTCAAGCCATATCTATTGTCCTAAGGCTGTTAAGAAATTGCTTTAAGCCTATTAACCGGACGATACCGGGCTATCATAGAAGAAGCACTTATACCGGCGCGGGAGCATTCGATTAATGCTTGAGATTAAGGAGTTTTACGTGTAACAAATAGGGCTATTGAACAAATATTAGAATTTTTTATATCAACTAAACTACGTTTATAATAAGACTTGACGTAAACATACAACAATCTTACTACTTTCACTCCCGACCGTTAGTATTTCCTTTAATGTGTTAGATGGAGGCCTATCTCGTAGCAAGATGTACCGATAAGACCACCTTCCAAGTTTAATAACATAAAAGTGAAAGATTTATTCAAACAATACCGTTAACGACAAGTTGAATAACTTCTTAATAAGTAATTTATAATATTTGGATATGCAAATGGGATCGTTCAACAAATTAAGATTAGTTGTGTATTTTATGGAAGCAGATTTAAATTTAGATAAATTATATTAAACCAGTTGCTGGCACAAGCTGCGGTAAATATATTTTTATTTGCGGAAGAGGAAACCTTGGTGTTTCACTCAGTGCAAGATTAATTGGGTGTTAAGCCGGCGTGCCAGATTGCAAGTCCCGGATCGAGTCGGAACGGATGTCACATCATTACTGGCACGCAGGCGCCATCCTTGACTCCGACAGCTCAAGAGATCGCGTCGTCTCATCGACTCGTAGTACACATACATAAATAACTCTTACATATTTCTGCGAGCGTTACTTATTAATGAATATTAATGCGTGTGCACGACTTTACGGGCCATTTGTTTAATTATATCGTTTACTCATGATTGTTTATCACTGACAGCTCAATTTGGCACGAAGAAAGTGGTCGTGTTGATTTTACACCAATTAGACACGAAACTTCGTGAGGTAAAATAAATATTGCATAGCCTTGACTGTCTAGTGTCCACATACATATGTTTTCTGTATATCTAACGGTGGCCTGCGCCTAATATGGTTACGCGAATGTAGAGCTAGGCTTTGCATGTTAATGAGATGTTTGTTTATGACGCAGTTGTCAGAAAGAGTTACTCGAGTGGAGCTCGAGTGACCAGTGGGTCACGCAATCCGATTGTTAACATAAATACTCATTTGTTACAGGATTTGTGTCCTGACTCGGAGAAACTAATCCCACGCTACGTAGAACAGGTAAGATGCTATCTTTATGTTTTTCTTTTGGTTATCTCGGCTTGTCTGAGTAGTCTGACGGCTACAGACATGTATAGCTCAATTAGTCATCATTAGAGAGTTGTGTTGACATGGTGATATACATGGTAGCGACAATGGGCGGCCCGTGAGACGTCTGTGAACTCCGCCCGACAGTTTTTGCCACGTCAAGTGTTCAACTCGCCTCTGGACGAGACGAGAATGCATATTTCTAAGGAACTTGTGTATGGTCCATCGTAATAAGAACTGCCCTGACTCCATAGCCGTGTCGTTGTACAATGAATAAGAGGACAGTAAATTACATATCGCGGTCTTTGTTAGGTTGGACGTTTAGAGCGTGCGCGGCGTGGGCGGCGAAACACGGCTCCCATTGATTGCATGATTTATCGATATTGAATTTGCACAGGTGATTCCTTTGTTATTGTGATTGAAAGAAAATAAAACAGACAGCGACAGACGTAAGAGATAATTTACTTCCAAAGCATTGAAGTGAAAGCGAAAGACAACATTCAAAGTATTTTGAAAAAGAACGGTTTTGAATTTCAATTACATTCGTTTGTAAGTAACAATTGGTACGTGGGATATCTTTCACCGGATGAAAGTTTTGTTCTCTTGGTGCTATTTGTGAGGCAGAGTGGTTAGTAAGTAGGCAAGTCTTGTATCTGTTTGCCTAGATAGATATGTTACAAACTTGTATAAACTGTAGAGTAGAAGTCGACAGCTAATAGGGTTCCTTTGTAGGCAAATAAGTGGCTATTGAGATGTTACACGCTAACTTCTGTAAGCATGAGTGACAGGCAGCGCTTTGCTACACGCAGTTTGCCCGAGGTCGGTGAAATTCTTATACTTAACGATCGATTCCTTTAAAGTGTTTCCAGTGAAATGGTCCAGTAATGCCAGATAATGGGCAATATCATAATTGACACACACAATGTCTGTAAACACGCGGCATTTGTGATAATGCGGCCAATATCACCGGTCGGGTACAGTTAGCCGAGTGTAGCCACCATTTAAATGACTGTCTATTAGCTTCATTGTGAGTCGGTGTCGTATTAACGTGCTTTGACATTTCTCAGGACCACTCGAGTTTATCGTGTGGGAATCTGGACTATCTACTCCTAGCCAGGAACTTTAGTATCATGTTAGAACGCGGATAATACAATTAATTGTGATGGTGGTAATTATGTTTCTTTCACTTGATTGAGTAAATATAGGTGGGAGTGCGCGGATGCAGTGGGTCTACGTCTGCGGTGAGGTTTGCATGGATTCCAGTCATTACTCCCCGCTTCCCTGTTAGTGCGGTGCGGCGGAAGGCCGTAGCTTTGAATGCCAGTGAGCGTTGTCGGAACATAAATTTACATTTCGTTACGGTCGTTTTGTCAATACAATTCTCTTCACTATCTTCAGTAACAAATAAAAGATGTTTTTGGTATTGCTTCTCTCGGGCTAGCTCATGTTTGAAAACTTTTACTTAGCTCTAAAACTTTCTAATTCGAAATAAATTGAAGAGAATGTTTTATTGATAGCGATAATTGTCGAGTTTATATTTGAATGTTTAACTCCACGAGAGATGATTGCCGTGTGAATGCATAGTATTATGATTTAGATAAGATCGTTTGCTTGCGCATGCGATGCTATTAACTCGATACCCCATACATTCCGTCTAGAATATATTTGCGGAGGAAGCATAAGTACTATCGTCAGATTATTTCAATTATTTAAATTGGTAGTAAATGTGAGCTTAAATAGCTACGTTTTTAGATTAGTAGTAAAAATAACTATCAAGTTACTTGGCTTCCGAACATTAACGATATCGAATGAATAACAAAATTGTCTTCAAGTTTGATTAAAATCTGTAACCTAGATACCATTTACTAAATTTATTGCAATCAATAACTTTTCTCTAAGCGAAATGGCTGTCAATAAATGCGAATGTTTATAAAACCGCATGTTGGTTGCACAGACGCTTTTCTCTCTAGGTCCGCCAAAGATTTTCACCGCACATCGGACCGAAATCAGCCTGTATATGTGCTAGGGTTGTAGTTTCACGACCAGTCCACCAGAGCTCGCGCCTCTTAACGACATCGTGCATTTATTACTGCTTGCCCTAAGAGCTCACTTTTGAGATAAGCACAAAGTAAGAGTTAATTAAAATTGTACCTCTAGTATCCAACGAAAGTATGCAAGTCAAGATTAAATCTCACTGATATAATCTTCGATTAATTAATGACAATCGATTATAATCGTTTGAAAAGTAAATAGATGGAGATTAGAGTGTTTGTGTAAGTATGTTTTGATCGTGAAGTGTTGAGCGAGTGATTGACAATCGATTTAGAATCTCTGACCTCGCTTCACAATGTTAATGGTGCTTTTTACACGTTTTTATTCCATTCACGAAACGATCCGTACAAGCATTGAATCATAAGATTTCTCTTTCCGTATCTATTTAAAAAAACGTTTATAAACTCATCATCGTGTTTATAAATAAAGCTGTCAGGGTTTTATAGCATCATGGATATTTATTTTGTTAGACATTTGTGTTGAATTCAAATTACTCTTACGCACTGCATTCATGCATAAATGACTTGTAAGTAATTAAAAGCTCATTGTATGTAGATGAGGGATTTTATCGCTGTATGTAATTTACGTAGCCGCTGTCGCTCGCCGCGTGGGCCACTGGTCGGCTGGCAGCGTGTACAAGTCGTCGCGGCCGACAGCGACACGGCGCGGGCGCATGCCGCCTGCCCGCTTAGATAAACACGCGATCCTCGGACACTTGTAGGGCTGCCCCTGATATTTCATACAACACCGACCTCAAACAAGGCCACTGTACAGTCATACATTATTATAAGGGAAAAATATATTCTAGGTTTTTCTAGCATTTGCTGTAGGTGGTCAATTGGTACGTCAATCCATGATTTTAAGCCATAATATATTGAAAACATTACTTCAATGAAATAAAAAAGATTTGAATTTAATAGAATCAGAAATGGTCTAGAATTGTTTAGAAAATGTCACAGCCACAATGCGGCAGTAATTCCAAATAAGTAGCGAGATATTTGCCAACCCTGTTCCAGCAGCTAGTTCGAATAAAAGGAATTCTCAAATTATGGAGGTGCGATGCAAACGAGCTAAATACAGAAAGCACGTTTAAGAAACACCGGCAAAGGAATGTGCTATTTATTTGCAAATAGGCTTAGTATACGTTCGAGAGCTGTCTCGGTCGATTTGTTAGTCATAATGTATTTATACAATCGACACCAGCAACTAGCGTAGCGAGTTTGTCCCTATAAATAACACTATAATAGGTTATCTTGTTACTGGGCTACGAGAACAAATATTTGTAGCCGAGAGAATAGTTATAACTTTAGACACGCACTCATACTTGCTAATTGTATTCAGAAAATGTGTTCACATAAGCACCATAACACAACATATCACCTTTTGGTTAAATACGAAAATGTTGATTACAAATTAAAAACTCACTCATATCTACCTAACGCGATCTTTAAAATCCTTAATTTAGCGCAATCATCATTACAGGCAGAAATATTTATACATGCGTGAAAGTACATAAGTATAAAGATTTCACACGCATTCGAAAACAGATGGCCCAGTTGGTACAGATAATTGGGTCAGGCGAGCAACCTGTCGGTTTGCTCACACGCATTGTCTCGCGTCTCGGTGCGCCGGCGCTGTACCGTTAGCGCTCGGTCAAGTTCGGCCCATTGTGACGTGACTGCTACTTGTGACATACGGATTTATTCCGTCCGATTCGGTCGGCCCGTGGTAATCGAACATAATAAACACGAACATCTAAACGACTTTTTGTTCCCGCTTCCCGATACTTTCGTATCAATAAACAAGAAGCTGTTATAATCACTTTATGATGGATCTATTTCAAATTTTATTTTTTATCTTTCTACAAAAACAGTACGCAATGGAATTTGTTATTTTCTAGAAATCTGAAATGGAATCCCCAGGGAGAAAAAACTCAATTTATATGCTAAACAAAAAGCTTTTTCGGATCTTTTTATCTTCCGTGATGAGATTCGGATGCGATTGTCGCAATTCGGACCGCTAGAAGATAGTTTTTTTTTGTGATAATAAGCAAGCAATGATTGCAAGATATGCACTTATTATTTACGTGAGCTTATCTGATGCTGTAAGTAGGCGGGGAGGCACGTGCGCCTCTGACCTCGCCGCCGAACATCAAAAGCTTATAATGCTAGACTTGTGTGGCACTGGCCTTTGGATCGTGCCTCACTAAGATTGGATTACAAGCTGACTACGCGGACAACATATAAGATTAAGCCAGTAAAAGTCTCTCTCTGAATCGTTCATTAACCAGAAGTGTACAAAGCATGAAAGCGCATTCTATAATAAATAAACCTTTATGACTATAGATACAAATGTAGGTAAGTTGTCTTAGTACAAATACGCACGTCAATAACTATAAAATATCATTCATCACGGTCAATAAAAGATATATGTCATCATGCCACTGGCCAATGCAATAAAAGTGCGTACAAGTTTAATTTATGAAATCCTATGAGGGTTAATAGCAGTTCATATTTATATACTACATCAATTTCACTATAATAGCATACTCGTGTGGAAGTTAACGATTTGACGACGGATATTTAAATATATCTGTTTTAATGGCCGGTATATTTATCAAATTAATGACTGCATTAACAATTTTAGCGTGGACTTGCATTTATTTGTCCGCGATTCTGAAATGTCGGTTAGTGGGTTGTAAGAAATTGAATAACATATGAATGTATGCGCTGTTGATTATCATGATATGTAATTAAGTAAGTAACCGTTTATTTGAGTCTGAATATACGTATGTGTGATGACTCAGTATCTTGTACTAAACCATTGATTGTTCTCTGCGTCCACTTACCAAGTAGTGGGCACGCGTGCCTATTAGGAACGTGATTTGACAAATGCTCTGTGGGTCAGCCAGTGTTGACTGG